CTGAGGTAGAATGTTTAATTGTTAATAATTATAATGAAAGTAGAAATTAAGAATCATAATTTAAAGGCACAGTGAAGGCTCTTTGAAATTCTTCTCTAATCATGGAAGTCATTAGGGTTTGGTGGTTCTGTGCCTAATTCAAGTTTCCAACATGTAACACTATGTGCTAGACACACCAAGGATGATAAAACATGGCCTACGGACTCAAATGGCTCAGTCTGGTGGGAAAGGTGGACACATACCTATGATTACAATTTGTGATAAGGGCACTGACAGTGTGCCATGGGGGCATAAATGAGGGGACTTAACCCAGATATCAGCACTTAAGGAGGGCTTCCTGGCTAAGCCGTCATCTGAACTAATTCTCATTGTGGAACATCTGTTGCAGAATTGTAGTATCACCATTGGTACCACATTGTGCATGTATGCCATAAATGCAAATGTCTACTGGCTCAAAGGTGTCAGAAAAACCTGACTTACAGTCATATAAGATTATACTTATAGTCTATGATTATTTGCCATAAACCTGTAAAATCTAATCTAATCCAATTTCACAAATCAATAAAAATTTGAGAACCTATTATATCCTATATTGGGGCACTGCAGAAGATATAAAAATGACTGAGACATAGGCCCTTCTTTGAGGAACAGATCATTGGGTTAGGGTCTGAGGTTAAGACAATTACATAAAGGATCAATATACAAAATAAAGAAAGTTAACCATATTTGCTTTGCAAAGAGGACTGAAGCAAAGTACGACATCCAAGCCCAACTTTGTAAGAGGACTACTTTAACAAGGTGAAACTGGTGGGTAACAACGTGAGCAAAGACAGACATGAACAGTGTGGATATATCCAGGGAATGATAAGTGTCTATTTGGTTGGAAGGCAGAATATGCAAAGTGAATTAATATACTACACAGAAAGGCTGAGGTCACTCTGCAGAGCTTTTAAATCCCAAACCAAGAAATCTCTATTTCTAGGCAATGGGGCTACCAAAATTTTCAACTGGTGAGTAATATGACTGATTGTACTTGGGTCAGGTGCAGTGGCTCATGCCTATAATCCCAGTGCTTTGGGAGGCCAAGGTGAGAGGATCACTTGAGGTCAGGAGTTCAAGACCAGCCTGGGCACACAGAGAGACACCTGTCTCTACAAAAATTTAAAAAATTAGCCAGGTGTGGTGGCACATGCTTGTAGTCCCAGCTACTTGGGAGGCTGAGCCAGGATGGCTTTAGCCCGACAGTTTGAGATTACTGTGATCTGTGATCACACCACTGAATTCCAGCCTGGGCAACAGACTGAGACCCGTCTCTAAGTCTCTCATTAAAAAAAAAAAATTGTACTTGGACTAGAAAAGCCTAGAGCTAGGACTACAAGGAAGTTAGAGCTGATGCTGATTGTAATCATCTAGGTCAGAGATATAATGAAGATATATTAGCGGCAAGAATAGAAGGAGACTCGTGCAAGATACATTACAGAGGTAGAGCATATTGGACTCTGAATCATTGTGCAGTGGAAAAGAGCAGAGGCTTCGGAGTCTCATTGCTTGAGTTTAAATGATTGTTCTTCCCCTCACTGACTGAGCTGGCAACTTCTGGAAATTTAACCTCTCAGTTTCCTTATCTATAAAATGGGGATAATAAAACAATTCTTACCTCATAATATTACTCTGAAAATTAAAATGAGATAGTATTTGTAAAGCACTTAGTTTAGTGCTTGGCACATAATAATGCTAAGTAAATGTAGTTATTATCACTATTATATAGAATAACAGAATTAAAAGCTAGCAGAGCCTTTAGAAATGATCTAATCCAATGTACTAATATTACACATGAGACAACCAGGGCTGAAAGAAGTTTTTTTTGAGACAGAGTCTCATTTTGTTGCCAGGCTGGAGTTAGTGCCGTGGCGTCAGCCTAGCTCACAGCAACCTCAATTTCCTGGGCTCAAGCTATCCTACTGCCTCAGCCTCCCAAGTAGCTGGGACTACAGGCATGCACCACCCAGCTCGGTAATTTTTTGTGTATATATTTTTAGTTGGTCAATTGATTTCTTTCATTTTTAGTAGAGACAGGGTCCTCACTCGAGGCCGCGCCGTGGTTTGTGAACCTATAACATATGGAAGACCTTCCATGCTCTAAAAAACGGCTGTTGTCCCATACTGC